TAAGAATTTTTTTGTACACTATCCAGTTAAATACAACTATAATAACTTACAATTTAAATACAAATTTTATATAAAATTTATACAACTACAACTTATCTACAACTTTCGTATATTATTTCGACCCAGCTAAATACAACTATAATAGCATACAACTCAAATACAAATTTTATACAAAAATTATACAATATGTCTTTTCTATATTTTGTTTCTGATTTATACATAGTAAAAATAAATTTCATACAACTAATTATATATTATACAATTTATCTACAACTTATCTAAAATGTATCTACAACTTTCACACATTAATTTTATCCAGTTAAATACAACTACAATATACAACTTAAATACAAATTTTATACAATATTATTCAACTTTCATACAATAGTATAGTAAAATCATATATATATATATATATATAACAAAAATAATTTTTCTACAATGTTACCACAATTTCGTAAATATAATGTATGTCATGTCGTCTTCTTCTTCTTCTTCTTCTTCTTCTTCTTCTTCTTCTTCTTCTTCTTCTTCTTCTTCTTCTTCTTCGAGTTTCTGAAATTCAGCCAAAATCAAGTCTAATCTTCACCAAAACACCCTCGAAATTGAGATATAAACTCCAAACCATATTCCCAATTGTTTGCAACAGCACCCAATCCAAACAAATAATTGTTTTTGAAAATCCAAATTCGAATTCAAAGCTTCAAAGCTTTTTAATGGTTGTCAATTGTGCTCACATTACTGAAATTAAGGATTGAGAGGTAGAGAGACACGTATAAAGAATTCTCAATTCTTTGCAACAACATGCAATTCAAATAAAAAATATTTTTGAAAATCCAAATTCGAATTCAAAGCTTTTTTATGGTTGTCAATGGTGGAATTGCTGCTCTCTTTTGCTTTGCTCTACTTTATTGAAATTAAGGATTGGGAGATAGAGAGTAGAGAGAGAAAGAGCGAGAGAGAGAGAGAGAGAGAGAGAGAGAGAGAGAGAGAGAGAGAGAGAGAGAGAGAGAGAGAGAGCACATGGGGGAGAGAGAATAAGGATGGGGAATAATTGATCCCTAACATAAAGGGATACTCATTTAATTCCTAAAGTGTATATAATTGGTAAATTTGTATATATGAGGTAATTAAATTGAAACTTGAGTAGGGAGGGTAATAAGGATTCCAATAGTGTAAAGGTATGTAAAAATAGCCATATTGATCCATGAGTAACTTCGCTAAAATATCTTTAAATTTTTTTTATTTGATATGTTATATATGACTATAACAAAAGAAAAAATGTCTTATTTGATTATTAAATAATTCTTAAGAAAGCAATACACATTAATTAAAGCTTGGCTGGAGTTGGGTGGGCTTGGCTATGAACAAAATTTTAGTCCAAGTTGACCCAACCCATCTCAGTTCAAGTTACTTTTAGGCGGGTTAATGACTCGCCCATTTGTTGACTCAACCAATTTTTACCTGCCCAAAATCAATCCAACCCGCCCATTTGACTAGTAACCCGCCCATTTATTGACTCAATCCGTTTTAACCTGTGCAAAATCAATCCAACCTACCCATTTGATATCCTAGCATAACCGTATACACTATCCATCCAGACCCGACTTGTGATTAGTTATCGTTGTTGAATGCAAAATCTTATTGAGGCTTGAATATTTTAAGTTTTTTCCATGAAATTTGTTAATATTTTAAGAAGAGATAATTCGTAGGCAAAACCAAAAACAAATGAGAATCCTTAACATCACATAATCATGTTCTCGAGCATCTGATTGTGCTGTGACTCTAAATATTTCTTCTCGTGATCGTTATTTACATTAAATACAACAAATAAGGACCACACGGAATATATATATTATTCAAACAGTGACTTCTTTTGAACTGGAATAAGCAGGGGCGGATCTACGTGCAGATTTTGGGTGCTCAAGCACTCATTATCTTTGACAAGATTTAGTAAATTTGTATAGGTAATTATAAAAATATTTAGATAAATATTGATTGAACACCTATAACTAAACTCTTTTTTCCTCTTCTTTCAAATTTTTTATCAGTGAGCACCCACGACTTTAAAATCCTGAATCCGCCACTGGAAATAAGCCAATAGAAAATACCTAATTTTAAAATATATGATTTGAGGTAGAAAGTATTTGTCGTAAAGTTTTCAAATCAGGGGTAAAAGATATCGAGACAACGCAAGAAAATGACAAAAAACGGTCAATTTTATTTGAGGATGTTTTTTTTTTTCGTTATTTTTGTCATATTTCTGGTGTTTGATGCAGCTTTAGGTATTATAACTCTTGAATTTGACGGGAGTTACCTAATTTTTTTAGTTTTCCATTAGACTTAACAAATAAAGTTTGTTAAAACATTTGATGAAGATAAAAAAAAATGCACACTTTTAACAAACTTAAAAGATTAAACTGCTCAGAACAATATTAAGAAACTATTTCAAAACCTACCAAAATATAAGGGACTATTTTTATTACTTTCTCGAAAGAACACCATTATTATTTTGTGCTAACCTGATCATCTTAGATGTAGACAGTCTAAATAATAATTTATCAACTAGCCCCATAATATTCAATGACAATGAAGCATAGGTCCACAAATAGCAAAAAATGTCACAATTAAATATACTTCCTCCGGTCCACAATAAACCAATTTGCTTTTGGCTCACCCATTAAGAAAATACTAAATTCTATACAAAAATACCTAGTATGACCAAACTACCCTTAATTAAATATTTAATGCGAGGAGTAAGAAAACTTTTTAGGGATATGTACATAAGGGTAATTTTATAAAAACAAAATTGAATTCTTTCTTGATTATATAAATGGACACTTATTTTGGACAAAACTAAAAAAGTAAATTGATCACTTATTGTAGACCGGAGGGAGTAACAAATTAAAGTCGGCAATATGTACATAAGGATTTGAATTTTATGAGTTCTTACAGCGATCTTAAGTAAATATACAATAAGTAACTTGTTCATAATCAAATATTAATGAATATTTAGTGAATTTTAAATATATATAGAGTATGTTACTAGTTTTACGAGAACCCACGTCTACTAAGTTGGATCCCCCTGACACTAGACATAGCTGCTTTCACAAGCCAAATTATATTAATAGCATAAATTTTTTATTTTATTTTTTATGTTTACATACTTATAGCAGAAATATTTGTTCAGAAATAAACAGTACTTACTACTACTATTATACTTGATTTTGATGAAGAAAATGCAAGATCAACTTACTGCTCATTGCCTGAGAAACTTGATCCAAGTCACAGTATAAAATTTCAGGTTTCACAATTAAAGATCTAAGATTTCTTTTGGCTTTTGGCATTGTTGAAGATTAAGGGTGTGTTTGGTATGAAGGAAAATATTTTCCAATTTTCCCATGTTTGGTTGGTTTAAATGTTTTGGAAAATATTTTTCTTATGAACTCATTTTCCTCCAATTGGAGGAAAATGTTTTCCTCCAATTGGAGGAAAATGTTTTCCTTATCAAGAAAAGGGAAAACATTTCCAAAATCTTTCTCAACCTTCCCCACCTCACCAACCCACCCCACCCCATCACCAAAAAAGGTTTTTTTTTTTAAATTTTTTTTTTTCAGTTTTTCCGTTACCACCCACCCTACCCTCCACCCCACCCACCCAACCCCCCATCCCCACCACAAAAAAAATTATCTTTTTTACCTTAATTTTTTTTTTTGCAATTTTAAATTTTCTGTTCTTTTCGTTTTTCTGCACCACCCACCCAACTCCCTCCCCCACCTGCTCCCTTCCCCCCCCCCCACACACAACTAAAAAAATTTTTACTTTTTTTTTTGTAATTTAATTTCTTGTTTTTTTTTGTTTTACCTGCCCCCGCCTCCCCTCGCCCCCCCTACCCCCCCCCCTCGAAAAATATATATTTTTCAGTTTTAATTTTTTTATTTATCGGTTTAAAGATTCAACATTTTATAAGTTCGAAAATTATGAGTTCGGAGGTTTACGTGTTTGGAAGTTTACGGGTTTAGAAATTATAAAGTTTACGGGTTCGAAATTCCGCGGTTTGAAAGTTTAGCGGTTCGAAAGTTTATGAAATTTGTGGGTTCGGAAGGTTGTTGGTTTGAAAGTTTATGGCTTCATGTTTATTATATCTAAATTATTTATGAATACTCTTGAGAAGTCATTTTCCTTAATTTGCGTACCAAACACCGGAAAATGAATAAGATTACTACTTGTTTTCCAAGAAAATAAATATTTTCCACGGAACATATTTTCTTTTATACCAAACACACCCTACATTACTACTAACCATTGAAGAAAAAGGGGTTAAATTTTCTTTTATTTTTAAAAAAGATTTAAAGAGTTTGTGAGGTAGCCATTTATATCAGTTTATTAACAATTTTAGAGAAAAAATATAGACAAAACCATGAGATTTACAGCTTGTTTGGATGGTTGTAACGTATCGTTTTATAATATATCGTATTGTATTGTATTATATTGTACTTTATCGTTTGATAAATACAATGTTTGGATAGATTGTATCGTTTGTCGTCGTTTTATGATATCACGCACTAGCAATATGAAGAATAAACTTGCAATACTATAAAGAAAAATTATAATACGGGATAAAATTATTATATAAAAGGGTAAGGTAAATGATGAAATAAAATAATTTAATAATAATGAAGGGTGATATGAGAGAAAAAGACAAGGTAACAATGCGACCACACCAAACCGGTCTTTACATAAAGTGACATATTTTGTCGTTATGTAACGACGGATTTAACGATACGATACGATAAATTTTAAGTAACAATCAAAACAAACATCTTATTTAAAGTAACAATAAGATACAATAAAATAGGTAACAACCGTCCAAACAAGCTAGTATTAGAGAAAAGAAGAAAAATAAAGAAAAACCATGAGTTTGACGTGTTTGGTAGACGTCCACTATTTTATCAGACTAATCCGATATAGCGCCACCACCAACCAAGCCAAGTCAAGTCGTACTCTTCTTCTCGAAATTTAATACCTTACCTGTACAAAGAAAAAACAAATCAGAAAACCTCATCATATATAATTCTCGTCAAGCCTGCCCTTGCTCCCTGTCAATCTCGTCGGCTTCTGACTTCTTTTCTCACTTCAACTCGACGAAAACATTGTTCAAAGCTTTTCCTTTTTATAGTAATAATGCTGCAATAATTTCAGATTCGAGCGGTGAAATCCTAATACTTACATATATTTTTGAGAAAAAACTGTTTATATTATATTATATTTTTATTTATTACTGCAATAATTATTAGTTGCAAATCTTTTCTGTAATACACTTCCTCTTCTTCCTTCATATTGCTTAACTAAAAACACAAAGTTCAAAACAGATACAATTTTCCATATGGATCCAAGGAATGGCTATTGCCCACAAACTAAAACTTTCCATAGCCTAAGACAACCAGTCCCATTGCCACCGTTAACGGAGCCTCTCTCTATCATCCAATACACCCTCTCTCTTCTCAACTCACCGACCACCGGAATCAATGTCAACGCCACCACTTTCCTTATTGACGCCACCACCGGCCACCGTCTCTCTTACGCCGACTTCCTTCAAAAAATTCAATCTCTTGCTTCTTCTATCCAAGCCCGTTTTCCTTCCCTTTCTAAAAACGATGTCGCCTTTGTTCTCTCCCCTCCTTCACCCCATATTCCAATTGTATACTTCGCACTCCTCTCTTTAGGGATTGTTGTTTCTCCAGCTAATCCACTGTCTTCCACTGCCGAGGTAACTCACATGATTCAGCTGTGTAAACCCGCCATTGCTTTCGCAGCTTCTTCAACTGCCGTTAAACTGCCGTCGCTTCCCCTTGGCACTATTCTACTCGATTCCCCTGAATTTGTCTCTATGATTCAAGCTCCCGTTTCTACTCAAATATCTTATCCAGTTATTCACCAGTCGGATTCGGCAGCGATTCTTTACTCATCTGGAACTACTGGAAAAGTAAAAGGTGTTGAGTTAACTCACCGGAATTTAATCGCGTTAACAACCGCTTTGTATTACAGCAAATTCAATAATGTTGCGGATGAAGGTGAAAAGGCGGAGCAAGAGGTGTCGTTCATGACGTTGCCGATGTTTCACGTGTTTGGATTTTTTATGCTTATTAGATTAGCGGCGTTAGGGGAGACGGTGGTGATTATTGAGAGATTTGATTTCGAGAAGATGTTGGCGGCGGTAGAGAAGTACAAAGTTACGTACATGCCGGTGTCGCCGCCGCTGGTGGTGGCAATGGCGAAGTCGGATTTGGCGTTGAAGCATGATCTCAGCTCACTGAAGCTGCTGGCGTGCGGCGGAGCGCCGCTGGGGAAGGAGGTGGCAGAGCGGTTTAAGAGCAGGTTCCCTAACGTGGAGATAATACAGGTATGTGTTTGGTTATCACGCGCTAGATTTGGCGTGTGTTTGTGAATCTGAAACTGTAACCTCTCATGGGATGTTTCTTTTTCTCTTTCCGAATATCTCATGGAATCCCTTTCTCTTTTATCTGTGAATTAAAACTGTCGTAGCCCGTATTTTTTATTACTTTACTAATATACATAAACGTGAAGATATTTTATTTAAGTAGGAGTAATTTATAAGAATTACAAAGTTGCTGAAATTAAGTGTTGTAGTGACAACCTAGATCAGAACCAAGATTCCAGTCCCTGCCTCCCTGCAGAGACAAGACTGAATTCTACTCATCTATCTAAACCTTGATGGGCAAATTTATGGATAGCTATGTTGGTGGGAGTTAGCAGGTACCCATAGATTAATCGAGGTTCAACAACATTAAAAAGAAAATAAAACTACCAAAGTATTAGAACATAAAATGCTAAATGTTTAGATAGAGATGGTACATGCGAACTAGAAATAAGGCAAAAGATTTCTGGTAAGTGGAGAAGCATAAGGAAAGTACTTATGCGAGTAAATATTTTTTCAGAACTTGTGCTATATGCAAATGTGTGCATATTGTGCTTGCATCTAATGATATGACAAAATGTTTTGTTTAATGTGTTCAATTGTGATGCATCATAGGGATATGGTCTGACCGAGACTACTGGAGGAGCAACAGGGATGAGTGGCCCTGAGGAATCAGACCGGTATGGGTCTGCTGGTCGCCTTGCTGTGAATGTGGAAGCTAAGATTGTTGATCCTGATAATGGAGAGACCTTACCTCCTGGCCAGCGTGGAGAGCTTTGGATACGTGGGCCAACAATCATGAAAGGTGATGCTTACATATATAAGACACAGATTCAAAATGTTAAGTTGTGGGCGTGGATCTTTCTCCACCTACTGCTACTTTATGGCAAGAAGTTATTACAAACACATGTTTTTGTAAAAGAATAGTTCAGCTATAATTTTATGGTTCAAGCTGAAGACAATAAGTAAGGCTGCACTCATTGCCCAAATATGGCATTGGCTCCTGCATATATAGTTGTTAATTCACCTCCTGGTTGTGCGAATATGGGCCTTTGAAGTTGATGAATTTGAAAGGATTACTTGAATGGCTTCACAGCCTTTGCTTGCTTTTTGTCAGTCTGTTCCCCTTTCCTTTCATTCCTGTAGTACAGAAGAAGGTTGCTTCAGGAACTAGGCATTTCAATGATAGTTTTGAACTGGGATTTCAGCAGTAACTTACAATTTGCAGATTGAGGTAGTAAGTAAGGACGAAAGCAATTCATTGTTTTAAGAATTTAACTAGTATAGTTTGCTAATATACCACTGTTGAGAAGTTTCCTTGTAATATTTTTTATTGATATTTTATGAGTCGAGTGTTGTTGATTTCATTCAAGGAGCCAAATAGGAAAAATAGTGTACGTGATTGCAGATATATATGATCTGAAACATACTATTATGTTGTTGCTGCTAAATTTGTTTCTAATATGGCCTTTATAATACCCTTTCAATCAAACTTGAATTCTGAAAGAGAACGGTGGTGAATGGCAGGCTATGTTGGAGATAAACAAGCAACCTCAGCAACACTCGATTCAGAAGGTTGGCTGAAAACTGGTGATCTCTGCTATTTTGATACAGATGGGTTTCTATATGTTGTCGATAGGTTAAAAGAACTGATAAAGTACAAGGCGTATCAGGTAATTAAATTAGAGCTGATCCTGATTCAGTTGTTACTCGTATGCAAACTTGTTATCTCTCCTCTCTTACTATGTTACTGCTTCAGTATCTTATGAACGGATGAACTTTCAGGTTCCCCCTGCTGAACTTGAACATTTGCTTCAATCAATTCCTGATGTTGCTGATGCAGCAGTTATTCCGTATGTAATCTTCTCTGTCTCCCTCCGTTGCCTTCCCAATTCTTGTGACATTGCTACGTACTCATGTATCAGTATGATGGGAAAATCATAAACTTTTTGAACAATTTACATTTGATTTCATTAAAAACATACTTCTAGCAAAACAACTTAACCAATGGGCATTACTGTGCAAAAACTTGCAATCCGCCTTCCTCTTACTAGGCTACGTATTCATACTCTTTCTCTAGTATTTAACTAGTATCACATGTGTAATAGAATCTTGTTAACACATGCAATGTCTTTCACAAATTTGGTCTGGAAATTCTACTTTCTCTTTGGGTTTTTTAACTTCTTGACTCTGATACTCAGGCTTTTAGAACATCAGGTGAATCTTTGGTCCACTATACTGTGTAGTTGCAGAGTTGCACCATCTGTTCTTTTAGAAGCTTGTCTCTTACCACTTACCTTTATTTCTACATTTTCATACTAATAGAAGATAAAAAGGAAAAGGAGTGTCATATAAAGTATAAACTCATAAATATTTATAATTCTTATTGAAGCCCAGTAATTTCAATATGTGATTTTTAGCCTGGTGTGGGAATTCTGTTGTGCCAAGAAAACTAAGCAATGACACAAGCAATTGAAACAATTGTTCTGCCATCTAAATAATCTTTACTAGCTCTGGAGGTGGCAACAGAATAAAAATAAGGCACTGATGTGTCATGTGTGTGTAAATTTTTGTGTATGTCTCTGTGTGTGTGTGTTTGAGTATTCGGCCTCTCGCAGATATTATAAGCTTCCCAAGCAGATCTTGACTCTCAAATTCTGTTGATTTTTTGATATTCCAACTCCTAATACGGTCTTTTTGTTTCACCTGAATCTAGATATCCTGATGAAGAAGCAGGGGAGATTCCTATGGCTTATATAGTCAGAAGACCAGGAAGCACTATTAGTGAGTCACAAATTATAGATGTTATCGCAGAACAGGTATGCCTCTAACTGAATATAAAACCAAAACCGTTTTGCTTGATCATTGCATTAGTATGCGTAGAGGAAATAAGCGAACCCTATGAGAGTTTATGGCACAAGAAATCAAAATGAACTATCAAAACCTATATCAACACTCATATAGTCACTGAACTTATGAAATTATGGAGTAAAGTCATTTTTCTTTCATCTGTAACAAGAAAGTCACTAAACTATTCCTATTGCACTATGATGATCACTCAACCATATTTATTGATTTTTCCATGTAGAAAATGTTGCCTTGGCAATTCACATGTACTTTTGGACCGCATAAAATAATTTACACCCAAACCACGCATAAAAACTCACCTAACCCGTCCTGATCCGACCCGTTTATAAGAAAGAGCATTGTAAAACTTTTGGGTCAATTTTTATCTTTATAAACGGGTCGGGTTGGGTCGGATTGGGTGTATGGGTGGGTTTATATGCTTTGTCCAGGTGTTAATTTTTTTATATAATCCAAAAGTCCATGTGAAGTGCCAAGTCACCATTTTTCACTGAAAAAATCAATAAATCCAATAGAGTGATCACGAGAGTGCAATACAAATAGTTGAGTGAATTTCTTGTTACAAATAAAAGAAAAGTGACTTTACTCCGTAATTTCACATAGTTTAGTCACCATGTGAGTAATGTACTGTGTGTTCCAGATATGACTGTTTTTGAACTGGCACATTCTGTTGTCCATGTAAACAAAAGATGCATATTGTAACCAGAAGTTACCTTGCAGGTTGCACCATACAAGAAGATACGGCGTGTTGCATTCATCAACGCAATACCAAAATCTCCAGCAGGAAAGATTTTGAGAAGAGAACTCGTTAATCATGCCTCTAGTGGTGCTTCTGCAAGATTATGACGGAACAATTACATATATCTACATAATTTTAATTACCAGTTCAAATATTAATGTATAATATGTTGTTTTAAGTCTTCCACGTCACCTTACTGCTTCAATGTATTTTCCTATGAAGCTCATAATTTAAATTACCAGATGTTTTTAAGTTTTATGCAGCAATAATTCACAGGAAGAAAAGTGCCTTCTTTTGATGTCATGGATGGGGTGATCAATAGTTATTTCTTTATTCTCTATATTTCAACAGTAACTTCTTTTATTATTACACTTGTCTGTGTATAGAAGTAAAGCACTTCTAATGTATTAAGGCAAAATACAGTCACTCGCTTAGTTACAAAATACTTAAAAGGTTTTCCCCAGATGTTCAAGAATTGCAAGTTTATATACAAAATTGTTAGATAAGGGTAAAAACAGAGTAACTTTGGCAAGATGCCTTACCTTTTCTTGTAATTTTTTCTAAAAAATTAAAATTAAAATCTTGGTTATAGAACGCGCATACCGTCAAACATCATTATATTATACTTTTCCCGTAAAGAAGAAAATGAGAAGTTAAAAAAAAGGGAAATATAAAGAGAAAACAGAGAATTGAACAGTCATATGAAATGTTGCTTTCTGAAGCATAAACCCCTTAGGCTACGTGCTAACGTCTCTTGTGTCAATTTAACCCCTTAGGCTACGTGCTAACGTCTCTTGTGTCAATTTAGTTGAAAGCTATCAGCAATCACCCAAACCTCGGTACTTTTTCAGCACCTTATTCGGGTCATGGCCGCCGTCGAACGCCGTCCAACGGAACCCGAAGCCGACGACGACGACAGCTCGATCCACGTCTCGCTTATAGACGCTATTCAAAACTTCACTGATCTCGACATTTCCTTAAATAAGCTTGAACGCTTTCTCCGAGTTTTAGGCTTTTGTCAGTACTCTATTTTAAGCACTGCTCTCTCCTGGCTGGCCTTTTTTGTCATTTCAATTATTGTGCCTCTTCTCGTAGCTTACTTCAGTTACTGCTCTAATTGTGAGCGGTATAAGATTGATCACTTTGAGCTCGAGGTTCTTGTAAGCCAATCTATTGCCGCCGCCACATCGTTGCTGTGCATCTCACACAATCTTCGTAAATATCGCATCAGGAAATTGCTTTTCGTGGATCGATACCATGGTCAATTGACTCAGTTTAGTGCGCTGTACCTCAAGAAGATACGGGTAAGTGTTCAATTCGAGCCTAATTTTTTGTTAATCTCACACCAACAGTTTCACCCAAAATCGCGTCCATATTTGTTTAGCTACTTTCCCAACTTATTTGGCGTTGTTTGATTTTAAGAAAGAAACAAGTAGTTTTGAAGCATGTAGTTTGTGTGGTTATAAATCTATAGTAAAGTAGAAAGTTTAAAGTTAAATTACTTCTAAGTATATGGAACGGAATCATTCTCTTTTGACAAACTAAAAAACGAAAGTATGCTTCATAAATTGTAAAGTCGAAATAGTATGCTATTGGAAGTACTGTGTACACCAAACTATATTAGCTTACCATGGTTAAGTGATTTAATGAAGTGAGAGTATATGTTAATTGGCCATGGTACAGTGAGAAATATATATATACAAACATATGTTATGAATCTATTGGTTTGGCGTAAGCAACTGGTGTTTTCAGGAATCTCTAAGCGGGTAAGTTTTTACCATTCCAACACGATGTTTCTTCCTTTTTCTCAATCTTGGAATTCTGATTCTGGCAAATTTGCTGTTTTCAGGTCTTTTATTATTTGGTGGTTTCATGGATGACAATTTGCTTTTTGCTGAAGATAACTCGTGAAGTCACTAGAGCTGTGTATCTTTATGATGGTTCTGTGTTGTGGTCAATTGGAATTGTGGTTGCTTCACTTGTATCATGGGTATATTCTACCATTATCTTTCTTGTGGGAACTGCTCTGTTTCATCTGGTGGGCAATTTGCAAGTTATACACTTCGAACATTTTGGCGAGCTTTTGGAAATGGATATGGATGTCTCAGTTTATATCAATGAACATATGCGTCTGACATATTATTTGTGTAAAATTAGCCACAGGTTTAGAATGTTCCTCCTATTGGAGTACTTGATAATCACCGCCAGCCAATGTATAGTCCTATTGCAGACAACTACAAATCGAGGAATTATCAACTTCGTAAATGCTGGTGATTTTGCGGTATGCATCTTGATATTAAGTACCATTCACATAATCACTTGGTTTCACCGTTGAGCTCTTAAATTGTCTGTATGCATCTACAGATACTATAGAATTTTAAGGCCCCAAATTTTTTGTAGATAATGCATTTATTCAACAAGTTCACATCCCAGTCCTGATTGGCTTACAGTAACCTGATTGTTCAGGATTTAGTCTTCTTTCCCAGGTGAAGGGGAACCCATGGGAATGCTACTTTTAAATTTCTCGGCATGTTAGTTTATATGAAGCGCCGAAAAGTGCATTCAAAATCTTTGAGACTTGTGTATCTATACCATCAAATATTGTGCCTGTGTCTTTACTTTTTGAACTTACGAAACAATGTCATCATATTAGTGGTTATTCTCTACCAGAGTATATTAAAACTGTTACTTGGCTGATCGTGTTATTTTTATTGAACTTCATAATTATTCAGGTATTATCAATTGTTCAACTGCTTGGACTAGTTATATGTCTGAATGCAGCTGCAAAGATATCGCATAGAGCACAAGGCCTTGGATCAGTAGCCAGTAGATGGCATGCACTAGTTACATGTAATAACGACACTTCTGTCTCCGGACTTTCATCTGATGGTAGAAATGATGAAACACCAAAAACAGTGGGCCAGTTGCCTGTAAACTATTCAGAAGGTGATCTGGAGTCAGCTGATTGTATGCCTCCTCCTACAAACGTACAACTCACTTCTACGCTGTCATCATATCACAAGAGACAAGCATTCGGTATGCAAAACCAAACTTCTGCTGAAATTTGTACTGCTTGTATGCTTGTATTATATTCCTATTATGCCCAGTGGAAAGGGAAATTTGCAGCTTTAATGACATGATTCACTGAGGCAATATAAGAGGTCTGTTTGTTCAAAATAGAATGAAGTAACATCATGTCCACATTGTTATAATGATTGATGTACCTGCATAACGCATATGCCATAGTCTTTTTTGAGATCCTCTTTTGTTACCTTCCTGCATTTGATTGGCGGTGTGAATTCTCTAACTGGAACGACAGCAGATAACAAAAGAAGAAACAGAGTCAATGTGCCTATTTTATTTATTTATTTGTTTATTTATTTGCTTCACATGTTTCCTGTGCTGGAAACTTTATAACCCTTAGGGTACCAACCTGTCCTGCGAAGTTGTTGGAACGCCTATATAGGGTTTAAAAAGACATGAGATGGTTTCCTGATCATTGATACCATCTCAAGATGACTTCACCATAACTGTCTGAGCCCCTTTGATAGAACTACTGCATCAGTATCTCATCTAAAGATCTACTACTGAAAAGCTACTCTGATGCTATACATTGATTTTTTTTCAGTTTTTTTTTTGGGATGTTGCATTTTTGCTGTTTGAATGCTTTTCATTGAAAAATTGCAACCTTATGTTTTTCATGCTTCCTTGTTGAAACCAAAGATGCGTACTTTTTTGGCTAGAACTTGCTTCTTCTTTTTGATTCTTTTGCTTTAAATAGTTATTGCTTTGGATTTTAACTTCTGCTGCTCATGAGCAAAGTCAGGTGAAGCGAGGGTCTAAACTGTCAGAAATACTACATTTTTAGGACAAACTGCATTTAATAATAATCTCAATAAGTCTTTGTTAGTCCAAAAGAGAATTACTTAGATCCATGTAAACAGCGGTAGAATCTCTTAACTTTCCTTTTTTTTTTTTACGCAGACAACAAATAAAATCTTGTTTGCTTTATCTTTGCAGTGGCTTATGTGCAGTCTAACCATGGTGGTTTTAGCATTTTTGGATGGATGGTTGATCGATTACTCATTAACACACTTTTCTTCGTTGAGATGACATTGGTTACTTTTCTACTCGGGATGACTCTAACAATAAAAGTTAGGTGACATACACCAGACTGTAACAACAACAGCTAAATGTTGCATATATACAAGCAACTCCAACTAATACTTCATGTGCTTTGCAGCTCTCCTCGAGTTTCTCTTCAGGTGAAAGCTAGAGCCATAACCTTTTGCTTGTCCTTATGAATGATATATACCTAATTCCCTTGTATTTTGGATATCAGTTTTCATCATGGTCCAAAATAGGGATGATATATGTAAGAACACTACAACTGTGTTATTTATTTCTTTTTTTCCCTCATGAAACATCAACTGCACTCTTGACTAAAACAATGTCGTGCAACCTCTGTAAAACAAACTTTACTGTAGTATATTACAGCGCTGCTTTTCTTGTTTTGTAATCAACATCACAACTCATTCATTATCTTATTTTTTTCATGGCTCTTTTCTTTTTGCTTTTTTTTGTTTTCCCCTTCTTCTTTTTGGGGGTGGAGGGGGTTATTTATGTGATCCATATATTACTCAGCTTACGATCAAAGTTGGTGCTTAATTAGTCTTCCTTTTAAAAACCTCTTCCTACCGATAAAATGTACGGTTCACTGCTTGGCTGATGGGAATTTGGAATATGAAACTTAGCTATAAAACTAAAAGCTCCGGTATTTCCTGTAAAGTAAGGCGCTGTAGTAAGTCAGGATCTTGGTTAGTTTTGTATGTTTTAAGGATCTTTTTTATCTTGCTTGAAATTTATAAACTGAATAAGTTATGAAATAAAGGGATCTGAGAAAAAGAAACAGATCAGGACTTATTTCAACTGGTATTAAGTTGCAGAAACAACTACACTTTTGAGTTCGGCTATATGAATACTCATTAACTATGTTATTCCATTTAAATCATCTCCTCCCAAGATTATGCAAGTACAAATATGACGTTTTTTTACCAACTTATAACTTTGACCATACGGTGGGTAATTTCTCTGAGGGTATATATCTAACATGAAGATACAACTCAAGATAAAGGATTGATGAAATTCACAATGAGTTGACAACATTAACAAGGGTAAAATGTACAAGATAAAGGATTGATGAAATTCACAATGAGTTGACAACTTTAACAAGGATAAAATGTACATGTATGTATTGGCCAAAAATTATCTTAGTTATGTTTAGACCACGTCATCATTAATAGGGCATTCGAGGGCTGCCACGTGTCATCAATATGATTTCGACAAAAGACAGATTCAAGGTCGAGGTGATCTGACAAGAGAGGAAGGGCTAGGACAAGGAGTCAACAGAGATCAAGGTTGAGGACGAACACTCTTCTTGAATAGAGTAATAACAACTAGTTTTAGGATAAGACTTTAAAGAGAATATTCCAATGAATATTCTGTGGATATGTACTATTAGGGCTTTGTGGCACATGTCCCCTTGTAAATAGAAAGAAACATAGTTATAGTGGATGTTAAACACTCATTTGTAAAAGAACACTTTGACATTCTCTATAGATTCTTGCTTTATTACATACATACAAAAGACACCTTTTTCTTGAGATCGCTGTCTAGTCTTCCCCCACGATCCAAGGAGAATCCCAATATTCAAAGGCTCATCAATCATTTAACGTTGCCAGAAGGAACATTACACAATTCCACCCCCCTTTTCCGATCATATCTATTACATCTATTTATATAAATACCGTCATATATTATTTATTTCTATTTAATGCTATTTATATCGCATTTACGCCATTAAGCATTGTTCATTATCGTATATTCATCACTGTTACTAGAGATCTTGCAATATTTTGTCACGACACTAGTTAAATAATCTATTGGATATTATTATTGGCTAAGATTGACCCTACCTTGCTAAAAATATATAATTGCTTAAACCTAGATCCAAATTTTGGTCAAATATTTTGGTGCCGTATGTGAGAACTTCTTAGCTAATTTTTTAGTTTCCATTAGAACTACAACTCACGTGACTTGCTAACCCGACGAGCCACAAAGTTTTTCTCCTCTCTGTACGTACAAACATTTTCATGGTAGGTAACCAAGGAAACGAGACTAGGGCGACAGGTGACTGTCACGACCCAAATCGGAGGGCCGCGACGGAAATCCGGTGCCTAACTCAACCGAATACCAACGTAACGTATCCTTCTTATCATACTATCATGGGCCAATGAACCGGAAAGCCGTCATGAGATACCTAGAATAAACATAAGAGAATACTCGATATAGGACGACCCAACATGGTACACAAACTTATAGATATGACATACATGCCTATATAGCCGACATGATCATTTGTAAACTCAAAACATAGGCCGAAAAGGCCATACAAGTATCCATATACATGAACTGTCTACAAGCCTCTAAGAGTACATAAATGTCATAAAGGTCGGGACAGGGCCCCGCCATACCAATCAATACATGTCAAAATCATATTGACCAAATACGCAACTCCGAAGCAAGTGGAGTGCACCAACACCTTCCGTTGAGCTGATAGCCTACTAGGGGGATTGTCAACCTGTCTATCGGGACCTGCGGGCATGAAACGCAGCGTCCCCGGGCAAAAGGAACGTCAGTACAAATAAAGTACCGAGTATGTAAGGCATGAAAAAAACATGGTGTAAAGAACTCAACATATAAGTCTCAATATCTCTGTGAATCGTGAAACATTTATAATGTCATGCATATGCGTGTAAATGTCATACCATGCATAGGTATATGAGTACATAACATCATCAAGCCTCTGAGGGCATCCCATCATATCATCTCGTCCTTTGTGGACAAATCATCAACGTATACCAACTGATCAGGTGGTGGTGCATATATAACGCCATAACCTTTCCCCATACCTCATATACATATAATATACGCGTATATAACACCATCTGGTCATGGACCAATGTACATGTATAAATGAATGCAATGCATAATGAAGTAAGTCAATAAGATATCTCGGAATGTAGTGAGATCAATATGCCTTTGGATAAACTTTATCAACTTACGTATTCTTCTTAGATCCATGAAGAGACGATAATAGGAGGACACATGGGGAATCAAGAACATAGGCATCCCTAATACTTCTATGAATAGAGTCATTTATGAAAGTTGCCCATTTGCTCCTTTCGTTTGTATCATATGGATCATGCCAAAAGGAAAGAAGGGATAGCTTTAACATACCTTTGTCGTTTACTTAACCACACAATGTCGGTTCAGCCCGTTAGTACTCCAATCTACAACAAACAATAAGGGACCATTGTTAAGCTTACAGAAGCTAGAACTCAACACAAATGAGCGACAAGCTCATCTACAAAATTTTGGACAGCACCTCCCCTTATTCTTTTCCTTTTCCTCAAATCAAACAACAAGACCAACATGTCCAGAATGTCAGCAAACATATATATCAATATCTAACCTCATATTCATTACAATACATCACCAAAACAGTCCACACCATCTCACCCAACAACCAAATTCTACTTGCAATTTCCAAGTCTTCTCTTCTTCCAAACATATCAACCATAATATCAATAGTATTCTAAGTTATTTCTACTGATTTCCAGCCATAAAACATCAAGAATTCAACTCCAAAATGGTCCAACAACTACAACACTTCAACATGAAGTTCAACTTACTTTACAAGTTTCCTTTATCAAATCAACTAGATATACATAGATGATCTTACATAGAAGAGAAGTTAAACCTTACCTTGCCAGTAAGAACACTCATCCAACTAAGCTTTACTTCAAGCTTAAATAAGCTCTTTACCCCAAACAACAAAGTAGAGAGATAACTAGGTGATCTTGATCTTCCAAGAGAGAAATCACCATACCAACTTATGTATTTGGTCTTGAACCCTAGGATAACTTTGAGAGAGATCTTGGGCTGATATTTTGGAGCTCCTTCACATTGCAGTAGAGAGAGAGAGAGAGAGAGAGAGAGAGAGAGAGAGAGAGAGAGAGAGAGTAGTAGACAACACAAATATATACACTNAATAGAGTGGGAGGGATGATGAATTGTGCTTTTAAGTGAAATTGAGATATATCTATGTTTATATGGCCCCACTAATGGGCTTGGGAAGATGGGTCTTAGGCTGCTCCAAGACTAGCCCATCTCTATCCTTTTCCATTCCCTTTTAATTGATCCACAAGCTCTAAGTAGGTGATGCACCTACTTGTCACCTACTTAATCAAGTAGGTGATTCATGTTAGTCCTTTTTTCCATTTTGAAACATGTGTCTCATCCTCATTAAATAATTTGGACATGTGTCGAGTAGCTCAAGCAAGTAGGACGGAATGTAAGTTGGTGAAGCAGCATGTCCGGTAAGCATGCAACTCATTTTTATTTGTCCAAAATCTTCTTTCTCACGTTTAAGTGCATTCGTCGTCCTCAACCTAGTCGTTTGTATGATGAACGAAAATACGTGATGTAATATCATTAGATCACTTTATATACTTTCAAAGAGAATCTCATTTCCGAGCTTACATCAATTGATTTACGGCGTACTTTCACGTACGAAAACAGGGGTGTAACAGTGACATCTCCAGTAACCTCATGAACGCTATCAACGAGAGCTATGAAACATAGGGAGAGGATGTCACGCCCACTGCCTCCCCTAGGCGTGAGAGGTTGCCTCCTTCTTATTGCAGCACAACGAAATCAAACGGGAAAGGAGCTTCTACGTCTACAAGAGAAGGGACGCCACCTGCCATGAAGAAGTCCTCTAAGCATGGCTAACCGATACCCTAGTAAGCATGCTCAACAAAAAGCTCCATGCATGACCATAGAAACCACAAGAGCCCACACAGTACGGCGAGGGGACGAACATGGCGATCAACCAGACCCTCCAACTCCAGGTATATCTCACAATGTTACTGACAGCGCATGTGACAGCTTCCTCGCCGCTGTTTTGAAAAGAATGGAAGAAATGGAGAATGAAAATAAGACGCTCAGAGACCAAATGGAGGAACACCAGGAACGAGTGGACAAGATATCGGGCGCCCCTAAGTTACTACCGAAAAGGGACGATAGCGGGTTCGTAGAGCAGGTGTATAGTGAGGAAGCCCCACTTTCCATACCAAAGACCTTCAAAATACCACCGTATCTCAGAATACACGACAAGACAACTGACCCTGAAGACCACGTGACACATTACGTCACCGTCATGAAGGTCAACGACCTAAACAAGGAATATATGTCCTCCATTTTGCTGAAGAAATTCAGTGGAACCCTCACTGGAGGGGCATTAACATGGTATTCACAACTACCAGCCCGCTCCATAGAAACGTTCGAAGAAATGTCCGACAACTTCGTGACGGCATATGCCGGAGCCAAGAAAGCTGAAACAAGAGTAAGTGACATCATCATCATCAAACAATCCCTAGGAGAGGGACTGAGGGACTTCCTCGTCCGATTCAACAAGGTAAGGATGACCTTACCAAAT